GCTATTTCTTCTCTTGCCAAGATGACAAAGCACTTCGTAGGTAAAATCTTAACCTCCTCATTTGTAAAAATTAAGGGGTTAGAATAAGGTTTTTTTTTTAAGGTAATATTAGTTTACATCATTGTTTGTGTTTTACAAGTATAGGATCTCTCCCCTCCAGTGCTGCTACCACACACGTCCACCACCAAAACATGCACAGTCCTCCACCATAGTCCCCTGGGCTCCTTCCCGACCTTGCTCTAGCCCTTCTCCACCCCTTCCTCCTCTGGTAGCCTCTGTTCTATAGTCAGCTTTCCAAGGTTAATTCTTAGTTTGGTTTTAAGTTAAACCTGTGGTTTCTCTATAGTCCATATATAAGTGACATATAATGTAGGTCTCTTTTAAGATCCTTTCTAGTTCTCCCAAACCTACATTTAATTCTTCCAAACCTACATGGCTAGCCAAGATCACAGTGTATGAAAATTCAGACCAACTGCCTATTCAACATGTCCACTTATATGTGTAAGTGGACACCCCCCACATCACCATATGGCCCTCTTCTCAGCCCCCACCTCACTTCCTTGTTTCTCTGTATCCCCACACTCTGTAAGAGGTATTATCATTCACTTGGTGCTGAAGTCAGACAACTGGGGGTTAGTCTGAACTCTTTTTTCATACCTAATCTATGATCCAGTCCAGACAATTTCACCTGCTTAATCACTATCAATTAACTTATCTCTTTGCAGTCCCACAGCAACTCTCTTGGTACAGAGAGATAACAGATCAAGAAAGAGGTTCAAAGAAATGTGTTACTTTTCTAAGGTTACACAGGTAGAAACAGACAGAGCCAATATTCAAATGCAGTCTTCGTTATCACTTCGCTGGCCTGACTCCAGTATACAGATCCATTTCCAAGGTTTGTTTTCCTTTAGTTTTCATGTCCTCGTCCTCTCCCCGCTGACCACACTGTGAAGGCCTCTGAGGGCACTGTACAGCAGCAAGTCGGAAGGATCTTTTCTGTTTCTATGTGCTGCCATCCCTGGCTTCCAGTCATTTGCTTAACTGTTTTTTGTCAAATGCTTAGATACTATGGCTACAGAGTAAAGTATATTACGGCAATTATCAGGCATTTAATCTGAATGTGTTTATTCCAACCATACAAAATTTATAAGCCAACAGTTGCCAGGGACTGGGAGAAAGGAGAAACTGGAAGTGACTGCTAATGGGTTCAGGATTTCATTCATGGGGAGATAAAATGTACTAGAATTAGATATCTGTAATGGTTGTACAACTTTGTGAATACACAGAAGCCACTAAGTTTTACTTCTTATAAGGTAAATCTGATGGCATGCAAATTATATCCCAACTTTTTAAACTGTGGCTAAAATCAAAGAATTAAATGTTAACAAGTATTAGAGAAGATGCTGAAAAATTGTAATCCTCAAATATTGCTGGCGGTAACATAAAATGGTTTAGTCACCTTGGAAAACAGTTTGGCAAACTGTTATCTACACAGATACTTTAAGATCTAGCAATTCTTCTCTTAGACATAACCACCAAAAAAAAAACCAAAAAGGGAAAGAAAACATGTCTATTTGTAAGAAATTGTGCATAGGAGCATTATTCGTAATTGCCAAAAAGCAGACACAGCCCAAATGCCCATGAATGGATAAATGAAATGTGATATATCCATGCAATGGAAAATTAACATGAGTGTATCTTGAAAAATTATGCTAAGTGAAAGGAGTCAGTCATAAAAAATACATACTGTGTGATTCTATCTATATGAAATATCCAATGTAGACAAATCTATACTGAAAGAAAGCTAATCAATGTTTGCCTTGTGCTAGTGTTCACAGGGAAATGAGGAATGACTGCTAAGTGATGGGTTTCTTTCTGTAGCAATGAAAATGTTCTAAAATTGACTGGCAATGGTTGCACAGCTTTGTAGGTATATCAAAAATCATTGAATTGTACACTTTTAAGAGGAGAAGTGTATGGTAGGTGAAAATACCTCAATAAAGCTGCCAAAATGTATAAGCCCATTTTCATTAGTTTTCACATTAATATTTACCTTATAGCATGTTTTAACTGTAGTGAAAATTTGATGGAATAAGGCTGAATCCTGCTTGGTTGACTATTAAGGTGATTAAATTCTCTTATGGGAAGAAAAGTCTGTAATATGACAGCTGGAAGACTCAGGGGCCACATTCAAGTCTTTAGAAATGCTACTTCCATAAATTCTATAAATAATGACATGTCCCCTAATGTTATTGCTCCCTTTGTCCCCACCCCTTGCCCCGGTATTAGTCTTTGGATTCATGAAAAATTACTATAAATTGAACTAGGTAAGGGAGCATGAAGCGTAAATACATTTACCTTAATGAATGTTTCCAAAAAGGTTGAGAGAACCCCAACCTAGAAAAAACTTACTTTGGTTTGGAACTGGAATTGAATATCACACTTTATGTCATTTCACATTTGAGAATCTATTCTATTGTTAGTAAAGTACTCATCTGCAAAAGTATGAAGCTTTATTTAATTAGGATCTTAGAATTTCACAATAAAAAAGAATAGTAAATATGTTCATGTTTTGACTCCTTAACATAAAATCTTTACATTGTTAGTTTTGATATGGAGAATGGATTAGAAAGAAGGAGGGTCATATCTTTATGAGGTTTCTTTTTTTTTTTTTTTACAGCACAGCAAAAGATACTGCTGTTGAATTATGGGGTTAGGGATGAAGAGACGCAGAGCAAGAGAGGTCACCAGGAGATATAAACTTGTACCTGGTGACTGGATATGTAATTCAGAGAGGACAGACTTAAGTCATCTTTCTCCCCAAAGAATCCTAAAGCTTCCCATTTTAAATCCCTTCAAGGTCCAGAAAGGATAATTCTACCCTCAAAACAATCAGTCTATTCAGTATAAAATTCTTTTGCTGCTAAGCTAGAACAAAAATTTTTCTGTACATATAAAAAAACTCTATCAATACTAGATGTGAATCACCAAATTTTAATAAAGTTTAAATTATGCCATCTCTGTTCAGAAATCTAAGAATTTCACAGCTCAGGAAAGAACTTTATAGGTATATGTAGATAAATATGAGCATATAGTTGAGGAGACTGAAGTATAGAACTGAGTTTTAGCAAGTGACCTAGAACCAGGAGATTTGAACTTAGGTTTTCCATCTCCTAAATTAGTCTTCTTAAACTCTTAAACTTATTTCATACAAGACATGCAAAATAACTTTAAAAATTAACTATATAGGGCCTCCTCAGTGGCACAGTGGTTGAGCGCTGGGTTGCGAAGCTGCCCGCAGCCTCCGCGGCGCCAGTTCAATCCCCGGCTGCTCCCCGGCCACCAGAGGAGGGTCCCACATGGCGCGCAGACCTCTCCTGCTGCCCGCTGCTCCCCTCAACAGTGTACTTTGGTCCTTCTGCCTGCTCTGCTCCCTGCTCTGGCTCTGGTGAATTCTCTCACCCTCCCGTGCTTCTGACTGTACCCAGTGCATGTATAAACAAACAAACAAACAAATAAATAAAACATGCCTCTTTAAAAAAAAAAATTAACTATATAGAGGCTCTTCTTAAGTTTTACAAGTCACATATTTCAAATATATTAGGGGGATGGTAATTCTCTCTCTCTCACTCTCTCGATATATATATATATATATATATATATATATGTATGTATGTATGTATCTGCTCAATGGATAAGTACTAAATAACTTTAAATTATATAACCATACCCAGGGAAGTTAGAAGGAAGGAATAAGAGGAGTCATAATCTTGAAGCTGTGACTGAACAATATACATATACAACTAGGTTTCAGTCCTTAAAAGTATGACAAGATCATATTAGAGAGACAATCAAATTGCACTTGAATTGTACAGTTAGAGAACAAATCAATTTATATACAAATAACACTGTATACATCATCTGTTTATCCTTAGACCTTTTAAAAAAATGCTTTCATATTGTTTGTCAGATTACTTTAATTTGCCAGATGTCTGCTAAGGAAAAGCAAAAACAAAGAGATCAGTTAACTGGAAAGTCAAAGTATGTGTTATATTAAAATGTTATCAAATTACCTTACTGAACTAAGAAGGATTTGTATAAACTATAGTTTCATATTTTATTCCAAGTAAACAAATACAAATAAAAAATAGGATGTGGACAGACTGACTATATTTCCAATGAGTCAAAACAGAAGAAAGCAGGTAAGAGAAGATGAGCCACTTTCATTCACTAGAGACTTAGGCAAAGAATGCTGCTGTGGATGATATGATGTTACATTAAGGAGTCCTAGTCTATGATGTACTAGAACTCTACTGTCCCGCAAGTTTATAATCAAAAGTAACCAGAGGCTTCCTTTTCCAAGGGTGCCCACTGATTCAGGCAAAAAGGCCCAAAGCTCCAAATTTTAACTGCCAAACTATAAACCAAATGAGAAATACTCTGACTTGCTTTATTACTTGTAGGCAAAGTAATACAGAAAATTAAACCTAGATGTCATGTACAATATTGGTATATGTATTAATACATGTTAATGTATATTTTTCACCAACTGAGTAAGATGGAAAGATCTTTTAGAGAGGTTAAGTAAGATGCTATTAGCACATAAACTCACAGGTTAAAGATCAAAACCACAGTGGTGACAGAGGAAATTTTTCAGCTTGATATTGGTAGAAAATGGTCTAATTCATAAAGGAAAGAGACTATACATATTTAAAGTAGCTAGTGCAAAAACATGTACAAAGAATGTCAATTCTTTGCAGTATAAGCAGTTCACATTACTAGAAGTGGCCATAAAGAAGTGGTTCAATTATGGTATGCCCCTACAATGTAACACCATGGAGACACGTTACAATCCTGGCATACTGCACAGCTGGATCTATATGTGCTAATGCAAAACTAGCTCCAGAAGATATTAATAGAAGAAGAGCAAGATATAGGACAGTATAGGACAGCAACATTATTTTTAATCAATATTGCAATAAATAGATATTTTAAAATACCTTGTGGTATCTTCTTAGCTGTGCTTCTTTTGCTTCTTGAACTTCTTTTTCCAGGTATTTTTTTATCCTTTCCTAAGAAAGCCTGTCCATCTCTGGAGCCTTCACAAGGAGTGTTTTCTGAGTTTTCACTTGCAGCCACCTCACAGCTAGGTGTGCAACTTTCATTATTGTTGAGACAGTCTTGCTCAGACACTCGAGGTTTGCCCATTGCACTGTCACTGCTGCTCAGATGTTCATACCTGTCCCCATCAAGTTGATTTTCATTTTCATCTGATGCAGAAGGCAAGTGTGTTCCTAGACTTTCCACGCTGTCACCAGAATGACACCCATCTTGTGGTTCTATCTGCAGATTACATGTAGGAGTTTTGCTGTCATCCATTAGAGCATCTTTTGTTGAACCATTTAAGTTTCATTAAAGTCCTTCCATGTCTACAATGACAAAAAGGAAAAAACTACTTCATTTTCTCAGTTTTAGATTTTTAGTGATCACTGATTTTCCTCTTCTTTTGGGTGGTTTTACTTTAAGTAAAAGTAGGGAAGGAAGAAAATGGCTGAAGTTCATTGTTACCACTTCTTTCCACTTTAACTCCACTCAACCTCACCTAGTTTTTGCTTGAATATAAGTTTCTCAACCCTAGCAACAACATTTATCAGCTGTGGAGTTAGTCCAAATTCTATCCTAGACCTACTAAATCAGAATCTCTGAGAATGTAGTCTGGGTACTGATAAAATATTTAAAAGCTCTCTAAGAGATTCTAATGTACATTGTATATTGGGACCACTGCCTTAATGAAAGAAATTACTGATTAAATGAGTTTCTGTTAATATCAGTCAGTCTTAAATACTTACCAGACAAGTGAAAGTTAGGTAAGTAAATTTTTTCTTTTTTTTTAAATTTTCTCAAATTTATTTTTGCCTAGAAGAACTGGGGTAAGGCCAGAGGTGCGGGGAATGAGAGGATTCACAGAGACAGAGTAGGGAGCAGAACAGGCAGATCTACAGAAATACACTGTTGAGGGGAGCAGCAGTTGAGACAGGAGAGGTTGGCTGTGCCATATGTGGCTATCTCCCTGGCTGGGATTCAAACTCAGGCTATAGTGATGGTAGCTGGCCACCAGGGAAGCCCCTTTGTTGTTCATTTTTGTACAATGTTTGATTTCTTCTCTCAGGTGGTGTCCCCATAAAATTACCACCCAAAACACCCACGAACTGTTACCATATGCCATTCATGACAACATGGATGGAGCTGGAAGGGATAATGCTCAGTGAAATAAGTTAGAAGGAAAAAGAAAAATATCAGATGCTTTCACTTATAGGAGGAATTTAGGGAAGCCATCCAAGGGGTCAGGGAAAAAAGGGTAAAAAAATAAATAAATTGTCCAAAGAGAAGCAATATACAATAGGAAAATATTTAGATATTTTTAAAATAAATTGAGAAAAGGCATGTGGGGGGGTATCTGGGTAGTATATATTTATACTATATTCTTATTATATCTTTTACTTCCTAAAAATAAGCCTTGAAAAAGTACTTTAGAATTGTCAGGAAATTTCTTCTTCCATGCAATTAAGAAAATAAAAAAGGAGGATCCTGATTAACTTTAGGCTATCTAATTTTGAGTTAGAAGACTCTAAATTTAGAGTTGGTAGATATAAACTACTCCAGGGAATCCGCTAACATTTTAAAGATCTACCAATTAGATTCCAAGCCATTGATCAATCATGTTTCATCCCTTCTTTATCATCTAAAAGTACACTGCATTTTAAGGAAAATGATGACAGTCAGATTTAGATATGTTTTTATGCGCGTCAAGCATTACTTTGAGTGTGAATCAAATATGATATTCCAGTAGTTCTGAGGGGAAAAAAATCTCCACGATAAGACTTTTAAAATTCTTCATATTAATAGACAGAAATGCTTACTCGTTAGAAACATATAAACTACAATCCTGTAAAACATGGAAAGTGCAAAATAAGACATTAAATTACACTGAACGTAATTAATCCCACTAAACTGTACATTTAAAAATGCATGTTACATGTATTTACATGTATTTTTTATCACAATAAATGTAGTGAAAATATTTTTTTTTTAAAGATTTGTTTATTTATACAAGAGCTGGGGTAGAGGCCATAGGCACGGGAGGGTGAGAGGATTCACTAGAGACAGAGCAGGGAGCAGAACAGGCAGATGTACCGAAAGCACTGCTGAGGGGAGCAGTGGGCAAGACAGGAGAGGTCTGCTGCGCCATGTGGGTTTCTCCCTGGCCAGCCGGGAATCGAACACGTGCTGCAGAGGCTGCGGACCGCTTCACAGCGCTGCGCTCAACCTGCTGTGCTACCAGGGAGGCCCTGAAAATAAATTTATATAGCTAAGTAGGACAAAATGTCAATCCTTAAAACCTAGTACCCTCAGTTGTTTTCTAATGTAAGTATCAAGGAACATGTATTTGCAATTGCAAGTATAAAGGTTTTACACTTTTACCTGGAAGAGACACAGAGGTCACAAGCCAAGGGAGATGGCGGGAAGCAGAAAACAGTTTAGAGCATCTAAAACACCTGCTGAGTTTCTATCATGCATTACAAACTGTGCCAGGCACATTACAGACCTTACTTCTAATCCTCCAACCAAGTCTACATGGGAGGTATTTTAAATGAAGAGTCTGAGGTTTGCAGAGGCAAAAATAACTTGTTTAAGATCATATTCCTGGAAAGAAGTGGAAATGGAGTGAAAGTAGGTTTCCTTACTTGAACACCATGTAGTCAGTAGAACAGCTGATAGCACAGGCAGATTGAGACTCAAATTCCTCCTACGCCTTTTAACAAAATGTGGGTATTACCTGAGGCAAGTTTCCTAGCATCTTCAAGTTTCAATTTTCTCATTTGTAAAAGTGGAAAACTGTAATACCCACCTCAAAGTGTCATTTTTAGAGGCTTTGACAACACTGCAGGGAAAGCACTTAACAAAGTGCTTGGTCACAGTGAATGCTCAATAAAAGTTATCTATTTTTACTCTCAAGAAATCTCACAGGCTGGCATTAAATACTGGAGGTCTACTCAAGTGAGTCTGTAGCCTTACTATAAATTCAGAAACAGTTTTTCCAGGCCTCTTAGTAGTGATTAGGCTCTTGATGATAGGCTAATGTGAACCAGTATCATTTGAGAATACTTAAGTATTGATTTATGATGGGGACATCTCATTCAGTTCCTGGAATGCTGAAACATCTGTTCTGCACACTCTGTTTCAAATGATTAAGAGAGCTAGAAATTAGTGATTAAGGCTCGTTGGTGAGTATAAAATTACAGATCACAATCACAGCCTTGTGGAGTGTCAGTATCATATATCAGGCCCTAAGATAAACTTTTCAGGCCAATACTCTTATTCAATTCTCACAATTGTATTAGCTGTAAATAATTTTAATTCCACTACACTAATGAAGCAGCTAAGTCTCATATCTCGTCAAGTCACTAAGCTGGTAAATTTAGACATGGAATTTGGGTCAGTTATGATCTTGAGGTCACAATCTTAATCATTATGCTCCATGGACAACAGGAAGAAAGTAGCTGAAAGAATGTTCCACTCCAGCTGTGTTATACCCTAATGAAGAATCTCCACCCTACAACAGGAGACACATCTCTAATGATCAAGAAGTTCAGGTTCCCTGGAAGTGCTGGATCCATACAATATACCCATTCCCATATAGCCTCTTCTGTTTAGAACTTCAAAAAAGGATACATTAATATACTATTAAAAGTATTCCTTGCACTTGGCTTAAAAGCATTTTACCTCCCTAAAACCTGGAAACAATCCAAATGGCCAAAACCGATGACTGGATCGAGAAGATGTGGTACATATACACAATGGAATACTATTCAGCAATCAAAAAGATAAACTAATGCCGTTCACAGTAACATGAGTGGAGCTACAAGGAATTATGCTCAGCAAAATTAGTCAGAAGGAAAAAGAAAAATATCGGATGGTTTCACGTATGGGAGGAATACAGGGGAACCAAATAAGACATCAGGGTCAAAAAATAATAAGACAAAACACAGCAAAACAAAATAAAAAGAAACAGGCAATTATAAACTTGAGACAGGGCCTCCCCGGTGGTGCAGCAGTTGAGCACCATGCTGCAAAGCTGTCTGCAGCCTCTGCAGCGCCGGTTCAATTCCCCGCCAGCCAGGGAGAACCCCACACGGTGCAGCAGACCTCTCCTGCCTCGATCGCTGCTCCCCTCAGCAGTGTACTTCGGTCCTTCTGCCTGTTCTGCTCCCCGCTCTCTCTGGTGAATTCTCTCACCCTCCCATGCTTCTGACCTGTACCCCAGTTCTTGTATAAAATAAATAAATAAATCTTTAAAAATATATATATATAAACTTGAGACATCCTGCAAGGGAGGGGGAGGGAGAAGAAATGGAGGGAGGGAGGAAAAGAGGGAGGAACACAGGGGAATGTGGTGATGGTGCATGGGTGAACACTGTTTAAAAATGAACAATGATGTAAAATATATATAAATAAATTTAGGAAAAAACTGCAAAGATAATCCTAAAAAAAAGCATTTCACCCCTTACTATTCTGTGATGGCATAATTAGTTTAATTCTCTAAAGTTAACTTTGTGAACTACTTTCTAACATTAAGCTTTATGATCTTGCCAAGGATGAATGTTCTATAATTATTCTTACAAGACAACTACTAATTCTTCAAGGCCTGGCTCAAAAGTCCCTCCAATTTGCCTCTCCTGACTTCTTCATTCCAAAAACCCCATACTTAACATACTTCTTTAAAGCACTCAAGAGTCCTTCCTGAATACTGCTCTGCACTGTGTTTCTACATAAGGTACCTATAAATACTGCTCTGCGCAGTATATTTCTGCATATGTGTTCTATTAGATTTAAATCAATTGAATATTCATAAACCAGCCACAGATAATTTGTATTCTTCACAATGTCTGGCCCTGGGTCTCGTACTTATTAGATATATAAGGAGTAAATGAATCAGTTCTCTATATTTTCTCTCTGAAAAACAGAAAGTCAGATACACAGAATCCTACCCACTACCCTGTTCCTACTCTGAAAGGTAAACTACTCTGAGAGGTAAAGGGAATTATTATACAATTCCTGGCTTCTGTTTACTTTCCTAATATATTTCAATTGGAATATTTTAAGCAATAGGATAACTTTTTTAATGGGATTTTTAAATCAAAGTTTGATGATCTGGTACCCCTGTATCTCACTATGTGAAACTACTTGGGCAAGAAAAAAATCACAAGGAGAAAGAGACCCAGTTGACACACAGTATTTTAAAATATGTGCTAACAGGGCCTCCCCGGTGGCGCAGAGGTTGAGCGCTGGGTTGCGAAGCTGCCCGCAGACTCTGCAGCGCCAGTTCGATCCCCGGCTGCTCCCCGGCCACCAAAGGAGAGTCCCACAT